ATTACTAGAGCCATCCGATGATCCAGTTGTAAAACTTGTTGAAAGCACATTTCCGATGTTCAAGAATGCAACCGACGATCCAAGTTACTTGAAGGATAGAGCTATACTTGCGCCAACACTCGATATCGTAGAATCTATTAATGAATACATGTCGTCGTTAAATTTGACTGAGGGACGCACGTATTTAAGTTCATACAGTACGTGTAAATCCGACTCCAATACCGACTTTGTGGCACAAGTCCATACTCCTGAGTTCTTGAACACTATCAAGTGTTCTGGAACGCCGAACCATGAATTGAATTTGAAGGTCGGAACTCCAGTTATGTTGTTGCGGAATATGGATCACTCAATGGGACTCTGCAATGGTACACGATTGGTTGTGACTAAACTCTCCAATCATGTTCTCGAGTGTAAAATTCTTACTGGCGATCTTGCATGTGATAAAGTTTTGATACCTCGGATGATAATAACTCCTTCTGATGTTAGAGTACCATTCAAATTTCAAAGAAGGCACTTCTCCATTATGGTTTCGTACGCAATGACTATAAACAAGAGTCAAGGTCAATCATTATCGCATGTTGGCTTATTCTTGAAGAAACCAGTTTTTAGACATGGCTAGTTATATGTCGTTGTCTCCCGTGTTACTAACAGAAAGGGTCTGAAAATTTTAATTTGTGGAGAAGAAGGTTTGAAAGAAAATTAAACCAATAATGTTGTGTATAGAGAAGTGTTTAATAATATATGATTTTTGTTTATATTTTGTATTCCTATATCCTCTTTCTATTGTACTTAAATTATTAATTTATAAAAAAAATATTTAAAATAAAGTTTAAAAAAAAAAGGTTTGAGGAAATAACCCCGCCGCGCTGCGCACGGGTACCATACTAGTACTACGTAAAAAAGTAAGCAGTAAGAGAAATAAAAAAAAATAGATATATAAAATCTATTAATATATTATAAGGATTAACATAATTCACTTTTAGAAACACTTTCCCGCCAATTTCATTAATTATTGCCTAAAAATAGTAAATTAATAAAAATCAATGTAATTAATGTACATAATTTTTTTAGTCAAATATTTACTGTTATGACCTTTAATAGTTGAATCTAAATTTAGAATGATTTAGTTTTATGGAAACAAATATGGGGTATTATTGAAACTTTCGAAATCCATAGTTTAAATATATAGACTTGATTGAGCAATTATAGAGCATTAATCGTCAATCTTTATATTTATATTATATTTCCTGTATTGAGTAAAACATATAAATTAATACTTATGTTATTTTTCATACATCTTTTGTTGGCATAGTAGAGTTGCAAGATTATCTTTTTCTTCATAGACAAGATAACCAAATACAAAAACATAAACAACATTTATGTGCCGCTAAAAAATATTTTGGACAAAATGTAGAAATGACTTATAGAAATTACTTAATTAATTTATGGTATAAAGTTGAGAAAATTATTAAATTTAATTTTGGTATAAAGTTGATGATTTTATTTTAAGTATCTGATAGTCATTTTTATTTTTTCGTAGAAAATGTGTTGTTAATAATAAATGTCCGATTTTGTGGTATAAAGTGGGTGACTTATTTTTGGTACGAAATGTTCGAATTTAAATAGTATGAATTTTATTTGGAATGGATAGAAGTATATTTGAAATTATTTAAAACAAAATAAGAGCAGTTAAACTGCATAAATGTTGTTATCACATACATTTTGACAAATGTCAATTGTTTATATGGATTGTGAACCACATAAGATATTTCTTAAGTTCACAACTTTAAATCTAAAAAATTATTTGCGTTCACAATGTGATCAAACATAATATTGTCAATTGACAAAAATAAAAATAAAATATAAATAAGAAACAAAAAAATTAATAATTAGATAGTTTAAAAATGGTAATAATATTTCTCTCTCATCTCTCAATTGGTTGATTAGAATGTAATTAAATATGAATCAGCCGCATTATTATAAAATCAAGGTAATGTGATTCTTAAAATTTAGCATATTCGCATAATAATTTGCCATAATATATTGATGATGATTCGACAAATTGATATATTCCTCTAGAAAATTATAATGATCTTTGAACAAACATTGGTTAATAAAATTTAAAATTAGTAATTTAATTCTACAAATTAATTGATAATTTTAAACGATAAGGTAACTGACTACAAATCTAAAAAAATGCGAGATATATATAATACATATATATATATATATATATTATACATGAAATATATAAAAAAGTTTATTTGTGTAGTCCAAATTTAGGTTCTAAATTTAAAGATCAAATAAGTAGTTATTCATAACTTATGCTAATATTTACTTGGATGAAAATGAATTATTCAACTACTTACATTTTTTTATTTGGACAGGTCAGACAAAAATAAATTCATTTTAGTTAATGAAACAATATAAGTTTTATAATTATAAGTATTGTTCACATAGACTAGTACAAATCCCGTGCGATGCACGGGTAAAGATATTCATTAATATTTATAATTTAAAATGCTCACTAAATAATAATTATAAATTAAAAATATTGAGTTAATATGTAAT